AGCCAGGCGTCCAGTGTGTAGATGGCGGCCTGGAAGGGCACGCAGCACAGGATGAAGCATAGGTCGGCCACCGCTAGGTTGAGGATGAATAGATCCGTAGTGCTGCCGGGCTCCTGCCAGGCACCGGGGCTGGGCTGCAACAGCACGGCCAGCACCAGCCCATTGCCCACTGTGCCCAGCAGGAAGATGAGGGCGAACACCACAGGCACTGCCACAGCCCCCACGCTCCCGGGGCTGTCTAACGAGATGTTCTGCGCATCAGCCATCTCCCCATCCAATGGGCACCTGAGGAAAAGAAGCTGGAGTCCTCAGACAGGAGCCCCCGGCTCTGGTTACTTGAACCGGGGGTCTCGATCCAGGCCCCTAGCCTGGGCCTGGCCAGGTCTCCTGGGCAGGGAGCTCATGGGGGATGGAGGCAGGAGTGGGGAGACAGCCAAAAGTTATCCCTGAGATCCACCTGCGTAAGCCTGGCACAATCGCATACATGTTGGAGGTGGGTTTCTCAGTTTCCTAGGGAACACCCCCATGAAAGATGATTAGGTGATGGACACCTCCCGGCAGAATGGGGTGAGGACATGGCAGATGGGGGAGGGGCAAGCGCAACCCAAGTTGCTGATAGATCTACCTCACTTCTCCAAGGGGGTTTGAAGCTCAGGGAAGAGTCTGGGACATGGGTCAAAGTCAGCGAAACCCGGGTGATATCCCTGAGTCATCTTAAAGTCCAGTTTAGGGAAAGCCCCACACAGTGGCACAGCTGGGAAAACCATATAGGTCACTGCCCCCTTTTCGCACAAGAGGAAACTGAGGCTCAGGGGACATGGGAGGCTAATATCACACTTTTGAGTGGCAGACCTGGGGCCGTTGCCACCCTGGTACCCTGACTCCCAGGCTGGAGTGCTCGGCTGACAGCCTGTCACAGGTGGTGCCTCTGCCATGTGCAAGTATATGTGTGTGCATTTATGCACACTGGGCCCACTCTCACCCTTGCTCCACCCATCGCCCATCTGGGCTACTACCTGTGGATCCCCCTGCATGCCTGGAACCTCTGACACATGAAGGGCATGGGGGGGGGGGCAGGCAGGGTGGATGGAAGAAAGGCAATATCTGCACCCCCAACCCCAGCATGCAGCAAGCCCCCTGAAGCTCAGGAAGGGCAACACCCACCTCAACTCTGGGCACCAGGCCCCGCTTGATCCTGGGTGAACCGGCCAGACTGAGGCTGCCTCTTGGTTCAGTGGCTGCCCGTTGGTGCCTCCCTGAAGGTGCAGGTCTTCCTCCTGCTTCTCCCTCTTCTCCTTTACGGCACCTCCTCTGCTGAGCCAGACTTGAGCGCTCCCTCCGGAGTAGCCACTGGCCACCTCCTCCTTGGTCCCTGATTTCCCCCGGGTGGCATGCTTTTCTGCCTGGTTCTTTTCTGCCTCCCTGCGTTGCTTCTGCCTCTTTCTGCAGCGAGTAACCCATTGATCTCGCTCTCTGAGATTCGCTTTAGAGTTAACCCCTCCATGCCCAGGGCCCAGCCCATTCCTGGCACTCCCGCCTCCCGCCTAATGACTCACTCCCTGTCTTTCCTTTCTCTGCTCCAAGTAGGGCTCTAATCCAAGCTCAGAAAGGATTCCTCATCTTGAATGGGGTTCTGCTCCAAGTAGGGCTCTAATCCAAGCTCAGAAAGGATTCCTCATCTTGAATGGGGTGTCCTAGGCTAGGAAACCACAATCTGAGTCTCTTTTTTGGAGACCAGACAGGACTCCTCCCCCAGTCCCTGAGAATTCTGGGGCCCATTAAATTTCCTAAGCTTGTTCCAGAGGTTCAGTCTGGCTGGAGATGGGAGGGTTTTTGTGCCCATCCAAAGAGTTTGGCTTTAGCCTGAGGGCAATGGGGAACTAGTGAAAGTTTTAGAGCAGGGCCACGGTCTGCCCATTTAGTTTGTAGTTGGTTTATTTTGGCCTGGGGTGAAAAGGATGGACAGAAGCGGAGTGATTTAATGATTGACCCGTTAGGAGCCTCTTGTTCCGGCAAAAGCCAGAGGTTAATCAATTGGTCTTGGTGAATGGCTGTATGATTCAGTCATGCATGGGGTTCTAGCCTGGAACTCTTGGAGAAGTGGGCCACATGGCCAAATGCTTCCAGAGGCTTAGAAAGACTAGTCGGGGATGGGGGGGGAGTGAGGTACCCTGGATTTCATAATAGTGAGGTTGTTGATAAACTGAACAAGTGTACTGGAGGCAAAAGAGTCTGCAATGAGTTTAGGGAGAGAAGAGATGGTAGGGACTACATGTGGTCTTTCTAGAAGCTGGGAGGTTGGGGGGAATGTTAATAGGAAGTCTGTGAAAGGGGAGAAAATAGTTTGAGGGGACACTGATAGAGCCAGGACTTGCATTCAAGGCCCAAAGAGCTGGGGAAGAGACTCCCCAGGACTAGCTCTTCCCAGACCGCTGGGATTTTCCTGAGTGCTCAGAGGTATTTCTTGAAAGCCTGATGCCACTTGCTCCAGATGCAGAGCATCCCCAAATTTTTGGAAATATTCACTGAACAGGGACGCCTGGGTGGCTCAGTCGGTTAAGCGTCTGCCTTCAGCTCAGGTCATGATCCGGGGGTCCTGGGATGGAGCCCCAGCTCCTCCCTGCTCAGCGGGGAGCCTGCTTCTCCCTCTGCCTGCCGCTCCCCCTGCTTGTGCGCTCTTTCTGACAAATAAATAAAATCTTAAAAAAAATATTCACTAAACAGAAGATACCAGGAATCATGCCTAGACTGTCCTGAATTCAGAGCTATCAGAATTGAATTAAGGAATTAGAATGGTAGAAGGTAAAGTGCAGAATTGTAGGATTCTAGCCCCAGTGCACTGGGGTTTTAGAATCCTTGACTGTCAAAGGTCTACAACCACCCTGAATTCTGAAAATCCCTGAGATCCCTGACACACTATCCTCTCTCCTTTTGGAAGCCTCCAGCCCAAAAGGCTCCGCCTGGCCCAGGACAAGGCTCCGGATGCACTGCTACAGAACTAGGGCAAGAGCTTGAAGCAGGGCAAGGCTGAGCCGCTGATAACGACAGAGGGAAGGAGGGAGGGCGGGAGGACCGAGACAACCACAGAGGACCAGCGTGGGGCAGGCAGGAAGAACGCGCTGTCAAGGCCTAGGCCCGAGCCCCAGCGCGTCCCTGGCACCACCTCTTCCTCTTGCTCCAGGAGGCCGCAGCCTTGAACCCGGAGCCCGGCGCAGAGGACGTGGACCGCGCGCCGTGGGAGCGGCCTTTGAAGGTGGAGGTGCAGCTGATCCGTGGCCGGCCCTCCTGTCCTGCACGGCTCTAAGGCTGTCGCGGACGTCGGGCCACTCCCTGTACGCGTACAATCCCAGCACGTGCGCCCAGAGGTACCGCTGCGCCTGCTGCCGCTTCCTACCGGCCCTTCTGGATGCCGGCGGATGGGAGCCGGTGCAGCGCCGCACGCCGAGCCGCGAGCTGACCGACGGCGTGGCACGCTACCGCGGCAATGCAGCTGCCTACGCCGGCCGCCGGGGGGCGCAACGCCAGCCGCGGCGCGCGGGAGCCACGGGAAGGGCCGGCGCGTGCTCTGAGCCACGGGCGGGTGGACCTGGGCCCGGCTTTCTGGCCCCGCCGGACAGGCCACAGCTACTGCTGTAATGCGTTGCCCGGTGGCTGCTTGTGCCCACCCCGTGTAACCCGCCGGCCTACGCAGATCGCGCACGTCGGGCTGCGGGCTGGTGCCAGGCCGTATGCACTCGCTGCTGCAGCAGTGCACCTGCGCCAGGTACACTACCCCGCGTGGCAGCGTCTCGCAAGTATTCGCGCCGCTGCTGTGGCCAAGGCAGTCCTCTTCCCTGGGCTGCCATCTCCCAGCACCTGGAGCTCCTGGACCCAGCCTCAAGCTCTTCCAGACCACAAGCTAGGATTCCCAGAATCCCAGAGTTAGGATCCCTGCAGCTCTCCCAGACCGTCCATTCGGACATCCAGACTAAGGGCAGGGCTGGGGGGTCGAGGGGGTCCTAGTTCCCTGTTGTGAACGAGGAAGGGCCCTTTCATCCTCCCTGCCCTACCTCCAGCGAGGTACGAGCTTCCCGAGGCCATGCCACGCTGAGGGGGGAGCTGCGGTGAATCAGAACCTATCCCGCCCGGCCCCCGGCCCCGGGCCCATAGCGCTGAGTGGGGAGGACAATGAAGAGACAAGGACCAGGGACAGCGACTGTGGGAAGGGGGCTGTCATCGTGTCCACTAGGGGAGCAGCGAGCCCTTGCTGGGGACAAGTGTGGATGGGGCCTTGGCAGCAGCAAATCAGCTCTCCCGAGAGCCTTGCAGGCCGGCTGCCTAGCTGACTCCAAGACCTGGATTCTGGAGCGGACGCCGCGATAGCAGCCGGAGCCTGAGCTCGCTGCGCCCCCTGGCGGCTGATCAGCAGGCCAGTCGGCCTTGCAAATGAGCCGGATGGAAGGACCCCGGTAATACCAATGTAACATCCACTCTTGGTACGGTGCGGGAAACTGAGGCACACACAGGTGAAGGGGCCTGCCCAAGACCACAGAGTCAGGGGCAAAGTGGGCTAAAATACATGGTTCCAGACTGTCAGGGGCCTTTCCAATAGTGACCTACGTTCTTTCCTTTGGGGCCTGACTCCTCTGCCTCTCCATCCACACACGGGTTTGGGTGCCCAGCCCCTCCTTATCTGGGCAGCTGTAAGCCACCCTCTGGATGGGGAGCAGAAAGCGAGGTGTTCTCCGGAGGCTGAAGAGTAAGTGGGGTGGGTTGGGTGGGAGAGGACCCGCAGGGTTGGTGCGTAGCTGATCCTCTCTAGCAGCACAGAATCCAGTTGTGCCACATGGGGGGCCCCTGCCTACATTATCCCCACTGCGTGGGTCTCATCTTAACCTGGGGTAGGTGGTCAGCTCTGATCTACTCAGGAGCCTGCCCTCAGAGCCCCAGCTCCTGCCTGATTCTTCAACTGGTCACAGGACTGGGCCTGCCTGGAGAGAATAAAGCACACCAACACGTCAGCCCGTTTCCACACTTATTGCTTAGCACTCTCAACCACAAACACAGGCCTTGCCCCAGCCCAGCCCCAGGACTTTGACAGGGCTCAGAGTCTCTGGCCTGGGCTGACAAAAGGAACCTTTTGTCAATGTGGAGGGAGGGGACCTTGGCTCTGCTTGTCACCAGCCAGGTCAGGGTAGTGCCCCATGCAGCCGCCCCACCTCCACGAAGGCCTCCACACAGCGGTCGATGTCCTCCTCACTGTGCACTGCTGAGATCTGCACCCGGATCCGGGCCTTGCCCCTGGGGACCACTGGATAGCTGAACCCGATGACAAAGATGCCTGGTAAGGTAGAAAGCGTCAACCTGGGGCTCACCAAAGCCAGACAGCCTTTGGGAGACATGACACATGGTTCCTACTCCCCTGCGGGTCACAGAGGGCAAGGGAGGTGCCCAAGGTCTCACAGACATGAGACTGAGTGATGGCCTGGGATTTCCAGCTTGGACAGACAGCTGGTCTAAAGGGGGCAGTAGGGTGAAGGTATGGGGGAGCATTCACAGTATAGGGGTTCCCTCTTTTCTCTGAGGACCCATAACCGGTGCCCCCTTGTCCCAGCTTCCTTACCTCTCTTTAGCATGTCATCTGCCATGCAAGAAGCCAGCCGAGCATCACCCAGCATCACAGGGCAGATAGGGTGACGGGCTCCCAAGATGGTGAAGCCAGCAGCCTCCATCTTACTGCGGAAACTGTGGGCACAAGCTGGGTGTCACAGGTAGCCGGGGGCTGTGGAGTGTTCACCCCACTCCTGATGAGCACACGATCCAAGATCTGTGCCCAAGTCTGCAGGATGGACCAACAGAGACAGATGCAGGCCCAGAGAGGCAGATGGGGAGCCGGGCAAAGGAACCGGCAGACCAAAACAGAGCGTGAGAAGACAGGATAGGGGCGCCTGGGGGGCTCAGTCGTTAAGCGTCTCCCTTCGGCTCAGGTCATGATCCCAGGGTCCTGGGATCGAGCCCCGCATCGGGCTCCCTGCTCGGCGGGAAGCCTGCTTCTCCCTCTCCCACTCGCCCCTGCTTGTGTTCCGCCCCCCCCCCCCCCCCACAAAACAAGTAAATAAAAACTTAAAAAAAAAAAAGACAAGACAGGATAATGCAAGATGGGGAGACACAAGGTCATTGACAGATAAATGTACCAGGAAATGGAAGGAAGAGGCAGAGACAGAGAAGAGGGAGGTGGGTGGGCAGGCAGCCCTTGATTAAAAGGACCGAGTCCCAGTGCAATCTGCTGGGAGCATGGTGTGGGCAGAGGCAGAACCCGTAGGCCTGGGCGGGCACACCGGGGACAGGCCCCTACCAGCTCCCCCACCCCAGCCTGCCCCACCCCTGCCAGGGACCGCACCGCTGGGTCTTGGCTGCCATAGTCTGGACAATGGCATTGCTCTCCATGAGCAGGTCCAGGGCCTTGGAGGCACAGCCAACGACAGCAGGTGGCAGGCTGTTGGAGAAGAGGTAGGGCCGGGAGCGCTGCCGTAGCAGGGACACCAGGGGCCCGGGCCCTGTCGTGTAGCCCCCTGAGGACAAGGACAGAGGTGAGGGTGGGAGTCAGAGGCCAGGGGCCAGAGTCTACCCCGAGCCCTCCCCCCGAGAGGACAGTCCATGCTACCCTCTTCCTTGTGGTCCCAGGTCGCCCCTCTGCACCCGCCCTGAGACCTCTCCAGGGCCCTCCCTGTGGATAAGGGGACCCCAGGGCCAGGACCCTGCAGGTACCTGAGGCTCCACCCAGTGCCTTCCCCAGTGTGGAGTTGATGACGGTGACCTGGTCCATCACACCCAGCAGCTCATCCGTGCCCCTGCAAGGGAAGCTACGTCTGCCACCACTGGCTTCCTGAGTGCCCAGGGATCATGGGTTGGGTGAGGGGCTGGCGTCCTGGTTTCCCACCCACCCTTAGAAGCCCGACCCAAGGCCCTAGGTGATGTATGGTCCCACCGTCCTGTGGCCCCCAAGAAGCCAGTAGCATGGCATTCATCCACAAAGACCAGGGCACCATATCGAGAGGCAAGGTGGCAGATCTCCCGCAGGGGCGCGATGTCGCCGTCCATGGAAAAGGCCCCATCAGTGGCCACCAAGCGCAGTCGATGCTTCTGCAGGGAAGCCATGGGCAGGTGATGGCTGGTGTCCCAAGTTGGGCCAATCCTCCCATTCTCTATGCTGCTTGGGGTTCTAAGAGCTTACCTTGCTCAGGGTCTGGCATGGAGGTGAGCACATAAGCCTTACTGTGTTGGGGCTGGAACATCCTGCCCCTCATCTGTGCCTCCCTGAGCCTTGCCCACCTCTTCCAGGGCAGTCCTGGCCAGTGAAAACAGCTCAGTCTCCCCTGCAAGAGGGAGGGTGGGGTGGGGCCACTTCTATCCCGAAGCTCATCCCACCTTTATGCCCAGCAGGCCCTGCCACACATAAGGTGATTGCTAAAAGTCAAGGCAGCCTGGACAATGGGATAAGGCCTTGGGGTGGAGGGATTTGGGTTCAGCTCTTGGCTGCTTCAAACTTTCATGTTCTTTGTCTGCGAGTGCAAAGTTCGTCCCTCCAAGCCTCAGTTCATTCAGCAGTGCCGAGGCTGAGCATAAGCCCGGTTCTTGCCTCTGGAACCCCTGGGCCTCACCCCACCCGGGCCTCACCCCACCTGGGCCTCCTGCAGCTTGGCCTCCAAGTCAGCCATGTCCAGGTGGCAGTAACAGTACTTATGGGCCTTGCACAGACGGATGCCATCGATGATGGAGGCATGGTTCAGCTCGTCCGACAGGACTGCGTCCTGTGGGGTCAGCAGGGCCTGGAAGAAGGCAGTCGGAGTAGAGCTATTGCCCAACCACCTAGGGGGTTCTCTCTCCCCATGTCTACCTGAGTCAAAATGTCACTGCCATCCGGCGCATTCGTCTGGGCAGGGAGGCATGGAGCCCCCATTTGCCTCTATCCGGGTCCCCAGGGCCCCAGGTCTGGGCTGGACCAGGGCCCAGCTCCTGTGAGAGCAGGTGAGAACGTGTTTGGCGAGTACCTGGCCCCGGCTATCTCTGGCCTCCCCACTGATGGAGGTTATCTCCCCAGTGCCCCGGAAGCTGGTCCCTTGCAGGTCCCAGGATTCCTCCTGGAGCACCTACTTGTCCCAACCTTAGCCTCCATAAGAAATGGGCACTAGAGGGCGCCTGGGTGGCTCAGTTGGTTGAGCGACTGCCTTCGGCTCAGGTCAGGATCCTGGAGTCTCTGGATCGAGTCCCACCTGGATCGAGTCCCACCTGGATCGAGTCCCACCTCGGGCTTCCTGCTCAGCAGGGAGTCTGCTTCTCCCTCTGACCCTCTTCCCTCTCGTGCTTTCTATCTCTCATTCTCTCTCTCTCTGAAATAAATAAATAAAATCTTTAAAAAAAAAAAAAAGAAACGGGCACTAGAGCCTCTAGGCACGGCACTGACATCCTGCCGGGTCCTCCTCACTGCTCACTCCCGAGCCTTCCACAGCCGAGCAGTCCTCACCAACTCCCACCTGAGCCCTCCCCTCTCCCCACACCTCAAAGAGGCCAGTGTTGGCATCAAAACAGCTAGGATACAGGATGGCATCCTCCCGCTGGTGGAAGTGGGCTATCTTTGCTTCCAGATCCTTGTGGATGCTCTAAAGAAACAGAGTGAAACAAGTGTTAATGCCTGCAGGGTCACCTGAAACAAGTCCTGGGGACAGAGGCTTTAGAGGGTCACAGACTCATCACAGAAGGCCTACAGCCTTGGCCTCTGCCTTTATTATTATTATTTTTTAAGATTTTTATTTATTTATTTGACAGAGAGAGACACAGCGAGAGAGGGAACACAAGCAGGGGGAGTGGGAGAGGGGGAAGCAGGTCTCCCGCTGAGCAGGAAGCCCGATGCGGGGCTCGATCCCAGGACCCTGGGATCATGACCCGAGCCGAAGGCAGACGCTTAACGACTGAGCCACCCAGGCGCCCCATTGGCCTCTCCCTTCTGTCTTCATCACAAGAGCTCCCCCAGAGTCAACAGGAACCTGGCAGATGGTTCTCACTGAGGAATCAGGGGCTTGCTCGGTGTCCGTTCCTGGTTGGACCTTCGTTTGTAACGGGGAGACCCCACTGAGGGGTCCCAATGAGGAATTATGGGTGATGATGGCAAGGGAAGCTGTCTTCCCGACATCAAACTAAGTGCCTTTTTTGGTTGCTTAACGGCAAAGAAAAGGTACGTAGGTTCCTTTGGGCCTCAAATTCTTATATTTGAAAGCTGTCTGGTCAGGGTGAGGGTTTTGTCGGAAAGTGCCCTGGCTGGGGGTTAGGAGTCCTGCTTCTGACATTCATTTCACCGTCCCTTTTCTGAGAAGATGGGTAGTAATAATCACAAGTAGTCAGGAGCCAAGCCACCTGGGTTAAACTCTTATCATAAGAGGCGGTGTGCCCTAGAGTAAGTCACTTAATTTCTCCGAGCTTCGGCCTCCTCATCTCTGTGACAGAGACAAGAACAGCACCTATCACTTATGACTGTTAGGAGCATTAATAAGTTAATATTTGCAATGTTCTTAATATAGTACCTGGTACACAGTAAGCACTGTAAGTTTCATATGTGTATGTTTATTTTGTAACATTCACACACTAAAATAATCGACATTTATTGAGCACTTCTATGTGCCAGGCACTGTTCTAAGCATTTTTGCATGCAGGTGGGGGAAAGGGATGCTCTGAGAGGAAGAGTTTCTTTTGCAACACAACAGAAGCCTGAACCGGCCTTTCTGGTGGATAGCTCTAGGCTAAGAGTGGGCCCACGGCCCTGGGATGAGCTGAGCTGGCTAAACCAGCCCTGTTGACTGTGGGAAGCAGGCAACTGGGGTCGGTGCCCAACGCTGGGGACAAGGCACCCCCCCCAAACCCCACAACAGCCTCTGTGTACCTGGGTCCCACAGATGAAGCGGGTAGAGCTAAGGCCGGCTCCAAACTCCTCCAGGGCCTGCAGACCTGCCTGGATCACCTCGGGGTGGCTGCTCAGGCCCAGGTAGTTGTTGGCACAGAAGTTAAGGATTCCTGAGGTGGAGGATGGTATGGACACAGCAGCTCAGGGCAAGAAAGGGCCTGGAAAAGCGCCAGTGCCAGGCCCTGGGGACTTAGAGAGGAAACAACCCTGGATTCACCCTTGAGAAGGCAACACCCACACAGTATGACCCACTCTGGGGCAGAGGTCAGGATGGGGGAACTAGGGGCCCCTAGGAGGTACTGAATCCGACAGCTACAGGAGAGGGAGGGTCAGGAAAGGACCTTCAGAGTGGTGCCTTGAAGGATAAGAAGTTTAGACTGGCTCTGAATCACATTCTACCCATTGAGGAATGTAGCCCTACCTCACAGGTTTCTCCTGTCCCTGAAGACTACCAGCAACCCCTCATGCGGGCCTTGGCTCCCTTGTGGGTCAAAGAGAGCTGGCTCGGGTGCCCACCGTGGTCCTCAGACTCCACACAGTTGACTTTGCTGCCTGGTACAGAATCACGTGCCTAAAGTGTGTGGATGTGGGGGGTTTCTCTGAGACCTCAACTCCTGACTTATAAAGGGCAAAGTGAACACAGCTGACGTGAGGGGGAAACTGAGGCCTGTAAAGGGCAAAAGCAAGAGGAGAACCTGTCTCCTCATTTCCCATCTTTTGACCTGCTCCAAGCTTCCCCCAGGCGAGGGTGGGGAGGGAGGCAGAGATTTTTTGGGACCTCGGTTTACAAATGAGTACAACAGCCCCAAGGATCCCAGGCCTATTTCCTGAGCAGAAGGCGGGTTTGGGAGCCTGTTTATAACCAGCACCACCTGGGGCCCCGCACAGACAAGACAGGTGGTGACCACTGGTTACACAGGCATGAGGAAGGCCCAGTGGACCACTTCATGGTGTGACCCCTGCAGCAGCTGGTGGGCCCTTGCTCGCTGTGACTCTGGCCAGCAAGTTAGCTTCTCTGACCCGTTAGCTGACCTTCCAGCTCCAATATACAGGAGGACCCGGACCAAAGCCCAGCTCTGCCTGCCGCTAGCAGGGGCTTTTGGGCAAGCCATTTCACATCTCTGAGCCTCAGCTTCTTTGTCTGTACAATGGGAGTAGTTATTCCCGCGTTTGGAGGTTTGCAGGAGGCCACGTGCAGCAGGTGGTGGAGTCCTGCACAAGAAGCAGCTCCAGAAATGCAGGGCTTCTCGCCGCCGCCTCCCACCACCCTTCCCTGAAGCGGCCCGGTGGGAGCCAGCTGGGTGTCTCTCTTTTTCTCTCACGTTCTCACAGGACCGGGTGTCACTCCAGCCCCACCCTCTGAGTCAAGAAGGTGCTCAGCAGCAAATCACCTCCCTCCGTGGAAACAGGTTTAACAGGTTACAGTTAACCCTGGGAAGGCGTAAAGTCAGCCTGATGGATTGGGAAAGGGGCCAGCGGCTACGCGTGCAGATACTCCCACCCGCCCCCTGCCCACCATTCCAGCGCAGGCCCGGAACTAGGGTCTTCGAACACCCGGCCAGGTCCGACAACTCCCGGGAGGGGGGAGTTACCTCCGGAGACGCCGTCCACGTGGATGCGCGGCCCCTGACGGGACGTAATGACCCGCTCGCTCTTCCAGGTGCCAGCCTCGCGGATCGCTTCCAGCTCCTCTTCCAGGACGCCACGCAGCTGGGTCAGCGCCGACTGCGCGCGGCGGCCGCGGGGGACTGCGGACAAAGCAGCGTGGAGCACGCGACCGGCCCACATGGTGCCCACCATCACCCGAGCGCTCCGGCCGGCCCAAGGGCAGTGCGCACGGCGGCCGCCGCCGGGTCCCGTGGGCCGGGGGAGGGCTGGGGGGGCGGGCCACGGCAGCCAATCGGAGCGAGAGGGGCGGGGAGGCGGGCCCACCGGTGGGGGGGCGGGGCCTGGCGGAACCCGCAGAGGATGAAAACGGATTGGTGTCTAAGTTGAGACTGGAGCGCTCCGCGTGGGGGAAGGGGAGGCGACCCGGCGGAGGGTGGCGCGTCCCAGGGCCCAACCCCGCAGACCCCCACCCCCCCACCCCCCCACCCCCCCACCCTACTCCTATCCCCTGCCTACACACCCAGCGCTCGGAACGAAAGGGGGTGCACCCTGGAGCCCAAAGACGCAAGACCCTAAAAGCAGGCAGAGGCACGCTCTGTACCCTTCAGCCCCGTTTCCCGGAACCGTCCTCCATTCGCAGGTGCAAACGCCCCCAGGATTTCACCCCAGCCTGCCTGCCCGATTGCTCCGCATTCACCTCCAGCCTTAAAAGTGAGGGAAAATGCACCGATCAGGTTTTTTTCATTTTTCAATTTTATTTTAAAGTTTTTAAAATTACAAAGACAGCAAATTCTTCCCGGCACAAATAACACTTGTTAAAAAAAAAAAAAAGGAGGGGGGACCACGCGCAAGTGCGCATTTTCCTATATTATTAAAAATAAAAGACGACTGTACAGGTTTTTTTCTCCCAGCTCCCGGGTGTGAAACGTTTAAGTACTAGCCCTAGATACGTATATATACATATACACACATACACACAGAACTAGCTCTGTGAAACTACTTAGCAATTCAAAATTGACTGCAGTATGTCGTACTGTCCACTCCCCGCCCATTCCCCCTCCCCCATCTACAACTACTTTTTATAAAAGACTCAGAAGTAAAGACGTCGGGAGGTTTTTAAGTGGCAGGTGGCAGGGCTGAGCCCCACCAGGCCACCAAGCAAAACCACCTTTCTTACACAGGAGGAACCAAAAACCAGGGGAAAAGGAAAAAAGTCCTCCTATGACACAATCCAATTATATGGAAAGACCCAAGTTTTAACAGGGCACACTGAGGCACTTGGCTGACTAAATCCCCACCCTTCCCCCAAGGTTTCCACTCCCGTTTAACATGAGACTTTCTGAAGCCACAAAGACCCCCAAATGGCTAGTTTCCAGCTGACTGAGAGAAGCCACCGCTTCCCAGACCAGCTGTCACTTTGACCCCCCCTTCCCTTCCCTAGGACAATTAGGGAGGCCACAGGGGCACACTAACCGTGAGAAGGAAACTGGATTTGGACCCCCACACTGCTCACTATTGGAAGGTGGAAGTCAGCCCGGCGAGTGTTTTTTTCCCCACCTCCCTCATCTGCCATCCAGCTGCTGCCACCCCTCCCTTCTCCCCACCAAGGTTCTGGAACTCTCACAAGGGGTGTGCAATCTAGAGAAGGCTGGCTCACCTTAAAGATACTCCTACAAACCTTACCATTTCCGGGCTCCCCCTCATCTAGTTGGAACCAGCGGCCTTGCCCATTCTCTCCCACCCTTTTACCTTCATATTGAACAAACCATCCAACCAAACAAAACACACAAACCCACCCAAGTCCCTAAACCCATTAAGTAGATTAATAACAATGCAACGAAATAAAATATAAGTACATTCTCATCATTAGAGACGAGATTTGTTGTTGCTGTCCTTGCACGATTGGTTAAGGAAAAATGAATTATTCCCTAATTTCTGAGGAATCCAAATTCTCTTATGAAGTCAGAATAGAAAGAGGCAAAGGACTGCAGATGAAGATCAAGAGGGAAGAAAAAAGTATTTACAGAAAATAGGAGACAAGCAGGAATGTCCACAAGAAAAGCCTCATTGTCACTTCTTCTTGCCGGCCCTCTTGGCACTGGACTTGGCTTTGGGCTTCACTGGTTTGGCCTTCTTAGGCTTGGATGCCTTGACTGGCTTGGCCTTGACAGTCTTGGGTTTTTTGGTTTTCTTGGGCGTGGCAGCCGGCTTCTTCTTGGCCTTCTTGACTGGGGTGGCTTTGGGCTTCTTGCTTGGGGCTTTGGAAGCAGCCTTCTTGGGCTTGGCTGCCTTCTTTGGCGTGGCCACCTTCTTGACTTCCTTCTTCGTCTTCTTGAAGGCCACTGACCTCTTGGGCTCGTCGCTTTTGGCCAGCCGGAAGGACCCTGAGGCACCCACCCCTTTGGTCTGCTTGAGGACCCCAGTGGTGACCAGGCGTTTGATGGACAACTTGATCTGCGAGTCGGCGTTCTCACCCACCTTGTAGTGGCTCTTGATGTACTTCTGGATGGACTGGCGCGAGGAGCCAGCGCGGTTCTTCTCCGCCTGGATGGCAGCCACGATCATGTCTGAATACTTGGGGTGGTCTGTGGACTTCTTGGAGGCCTTGGCCCGCTTGGGCTTGGCCGCAGGGGTGGACGTGGAATTCTCGGTCATGGTGGCCTGTCTGGTCCTGCTGTTGAAGGAGGCGCCTTCAAAAGGGCCAGCCCTCGTCGGAGGCCCAGGAAAGCCTTACTCGGGATCTGCTCTGGCGCTCCTGACTCCCGGGCCAGTCCGGGGCCCGGCTCTCAGGGACCTGGCTCGGGTCGCGGGAGGACTCGCCGGGCCGGCTCTGTGTGGCCCAGCCCCGGCGGTCTGTCGGTCGGTCTCGGCACCTGGCTGCGGCTCCGGCTCGGGCTCGGGATCAGGCTCGGGCTCGGGCTCGGGCTCTGCCTCCGCCTCCGCCTCTTCTGCCTCCCTTTTCCCAGCTCCGCGTCTGGCGCTCGGGCGGCGCATCCGGGTATTTAGCGGCGGCGGGCGGACCGCGGTGAGGACAGGGCTGCTGGCTGCCTGCTCCCGGCCCGGAATGGCGCCGCGCCGCCGCCATCTGTGTTTCTTCCGCCGAGCAAATCCGACCTTTACCCCCGGCCCGGGCCTTCCTGCTCCCCGCCGCCGCCCGGGACCGCTGCCTGGCTCCCTGGGCTCCCCCGCCGGGCATCCCGCCGGCCCAGCCGCCGCCCCCCGCGCCCGCCACGCGCCCCAAACGGCGCCGAGGACCGCTGGTGCGCCTGCACATTTCCCCTTTGCGGGGGGCTGGCTCTGCGGGGCCGGGGAGCCCGGGTGCAGGAAACCCCCCGTAGCAAAGCTCCCCCCTGGGGCTACCGGAGGCCCCGCTCCCGGCCCGCAGCGGGACCCCCCAGCCCGGCGGAGCGGCTGGAAAGCGGCCCCAACTAACACACACTGCCCCGAGCCGGGCGACTCCCAGCCGGGCCGAGCCGGGACAGGGGGGAGGGGTCGCTCCCCCGGGGTCCGGTCACCTCTCGGGGGTCATCCCGCCACCGGGCCCCCCGTACCTCTACCTCTTCTCTGTCCTTGGGGCCCCTAAGCAAACTTTCCCTGGAAGAGTTGGAAGGGCACTTTCAAACTTTGTCCCTTCCCCCTCCTCTGCCGGCTCTCCCCCAGCGTGCCCCCTGACCTCTGTGTGGAGGTTCTTTCCTGAGGCCGAACCCCCACTACTGCCCGGGACCCTGGAGGGAATGAGGAGAGGTCTCCCGAGTTCTCTCCTTTCCTCAAAGACCCCCACATCGCCCATATATCCTAATCGGGAATTCATTTATATGCCTCTCTCAGCCTAGGAGTTTCGGGTTCTCAGAGGCAGAACCTTGCTGCCCCCACCTCTGAGGCAACCCTGGGGGTCAAGTCCCCCTCCCAAGATCCCTTGAAGGCAGTGTGTGGGGGGGTCTGCAATGGAGGGACTGTCACAAAGGCTCCAACAAGAGGCTTGTCCTGGGGGCCCCTGGGATGAAGAGAGGCCCTGAATGCTTTGGGAACTTGGGAAAACGGGGTTTTGGGGGAGAGGTGGAGGAGGGGGTCGCGTTCCTTGGGTCCTGATTAATCCTCGGAAAGTGTGCAGTTGTTCAGGGAGCGGTGGCCGGGACCACCGCCATTTTGCTGGGAGGATGCGATGTCTTTGTTAAAATGTATACATCTTTTCCGTGCTGCTTGGCAGGTACAGATGAGGCGAACGAGGGGCGTCACCGTCTGAAGGGAGTCTTGAGGGGCTCCGAGGGACTTTAGGGGACCAGAGGCCAGCAGAAGGGACCCCAGAGTTCCTGGGACCCCTTGTCAATGACACACATCCTAATCACGTGCAGGGCCCGCTTGGCTGGGACCCTGGGTTGAGATTCTGGGATGCTCCCTCCCTAAGCCCCCTCCCACAACAAACCCGCTTTTATTCCCTAAGCAAAGAGGCAGGGCACTCTTCATTTAAACAATACCCTGGGAGTGGGGGTTTATAGCTGGTCAAAATGATGAACGTGTCTCCGGTATGGTCCGGGAGCTGTTTGCAGACACTGGCTGTTGGGGAGGGGAGAGGGGGATGGTTGGAGGGTTTAGGTAGGGGGTGGGGGGTCGTAGCTACCGTTGGGGGGTAAGGGCTCCTACTGGACTTGAGGAGTCTCTGAGGCCAGGGAAATTACTAGGTTTCCCCCACAAACACCAAGGGATGGATTAATCCAAATGATTGGGAGGCGGGAGAGGGAGGCCTGAGACTCTCTATCAGATGCCTTCTCCACGGCTTATTTTGGTGGCACAGGCAGAAAAGGGAAGCCACGAAGGGCCAGGTTAGTTCAAAAGGTCAAGGTTCTTATTTGGATGATGTCAATTACCCCGAAGTTTCCTGATTTGAAAACACAACATTCTGGTGGATTTGTTTTAGTTATTTACAAAGACAATTCTGGTTCCCACTAAGATCGGGAGGGGTAAGTAGGCAATCCAAATAGCCACCCCTGGGTCTGAGATGTGTACACACACCCCCACACACACGCCACACACCCCCACCCACGCCACGGTCCTGGGTGTCTTAAAAATAAGGACTAGATGAATCCTTTGGCACGATGATGAAACAATTTCATTTACACAACGCCTTATAGTTGGCAAAGTGCTTGCTCTCCACTCGTTTCTTGATTCTTTGCGCCTCCAGCCTAGGGAGGCAGCCAACGTGATCACTCCCCGGATTATCCCCGTTTTACCGTGGAAGCTGCAGGAT